ATGTGTGTGTATGTGTGTGTATGTGTGTGTGTATGTGTATATGTATGTATATATGTATGTATGTGTATGTGTATATGTGTGTGTATGTGTATGTGTGTGTGTATGTGTATATGTATGTGTATATGTATGTGCATATGTATATGTATATGTATGTGTGTATGTGTATATGTATGTGTATGTGTATATGTATGTGTATATGTGTGTGTATGTGTGTGTGTACGTGTATATGTATGTATATATGTATGTATGTGTATGTGTATATGTGTGTGTATGTGTGTGTGTACGTGTATATGTATGTATATATGTATGTATGTGTATGTGTATATGTGTGTGTATGTGTATGTGTATGTGTATGTGTATGTGTATGTGTGTATATGTATGGGTTTATGTATGTGTATGTGTATGTGTGTGTGTGTGTATGTTATGTGTATGTGTATATGTGTGTGTGTGTATGTTATGTGTATGTGTATATGTGTGTGTATGTGTGTGTATGTGTATGTGTATGTGTGTATATGTATGTGTTTATGTATGTGTATGTGTATGTGTGTGTATGTGTATGTTATGTGTATGTGTATATGTGTGTGTGTGTATGTTATGTGTATGTATATATATGTGTGTATGTGTATGTGTCTGTGTATATGTATGTGAATGTGTATGTTATGTGTATATGTATGTATATCCAGAAGAGGGTGTTGAACCCCATGGAACTGGAATTATAGTAGTTGTGAGCCACCCAGACTCTGGGAACCAAACTCAGATCCTCTGTAAGGCAATATTTACTCTAAACCCTCCCCCAGTATTTTTTTTTAACTTTTTTTTGTATCAGGGTAATGTTAACTTCATATATTGAACTGGTTTCTCCTGTTTGTTTTCTGTTTCAGACTGTATAGAATTGTTACTGATCCATAGTTAAATTTGTAGTAGAATTTTTGAGTATTATGAATTTAGCTTCCTTAATATTTGTGGACTGAGTGAATAGTAGCAAACCTCTGACTTTATTTTCTGTTCAGATGGTCTGTTGGATCCAAATTGACAGATTTATGTAGCGTTGTCCACGGTGTGCCTTCATGATCCCTCTGAGGTCTTTAGGGTCTGTAATAAGTTCCCATTTCATGAATGGCATTCATCTTTGCCTCCCTTTCCTTTGTGTGTAAT